ATATATATATATATTTAATAGGGGTACGCTTAATTACTAAGCTCGTCCTTAAGTATGTGAAGAGTATGACCCACCCCCCTGTGGGAGGCCTGGAGAGAAACAGTCTGGTTCTTTAGAACCTGGAGCGAACAAACATCTCCTTCATATCTCCGAGGGACAACTCCTTCACACACATTTTTTTTAATCCATATAGAGTGTTAATTTTAATGGATAATATGTAGTTTTTTATTCATTTGTTGTATTTAACTTTTATTTAGGCGTTAAGAAATATGAAATGTAGTTCTTGTGAGTTACTGACACAATGGCTACTCATCAGTTTTGTTTTAAAATGTTCCTCGTTCTCTATAAATTTATGAAACGTAAGTGCATTTAGAATTCGTTCTAAAATAATTTTATTTTTATATGAAAATAAAAACGAAAACGTTTTTAATTTCAAACAGAAATCATTTTTAAAAATATATTTGATAATTTTATTAAGAAATTATTTTCAGTATAAAAAAACTCATTAATATCTCTTTCTCTCTCTCTCTGCTCAAGAGAGAAAAAAATAAAAAATGAAAAACGATTAAAAATTATTTTTTATTTATCTCTCATTTTACACTAAATCAAAAAATTATTTTCATTTTCGTTTTTTATCTTTATTGCGCCAAACACCATTTTAAAAACGTTTTCATTTTTTTTTACTCAAACAAACGTAAAAAAATAAAAACGGGATCAATTCCAAACACAACAAATAAGCCACAAATGGTAGTACCCCATTTTCCTCTTCACAGGCCAAAACCTCCCCTTCACTTGCCCATCCCTGGAAGAAAAACGACTGCCACATGAGCGGTACTTTTAGAAAAACGACATCACCTGTGTTAGGCCAAGGGGAATCTCCATAGGATAAAAAAATATTCCACAGATTTACAATGGGGAAGAGAATGATGTTTCTGCAAATTTGTGATAGTTACATATGATGAGTAAATGAGCACTCCTATGTTGCCCGAAATGATACGAAATTTCACATAATTCCTGTGCAAGCTCTTAAAAAAAAAACATCATTCAAAATTTGATTATCAATTTTTTGTTTGTGATTCCATTATATTCATTCATAAGGACTGGAGAAAAGGAAATAGGACGAAATTGCACCTTTCCATTATGAAGCTATATTACTGCTCTATGATGAATGAAACGGTTCGCTTCCTTTAGGAGCAAAATTCAAAGGAAGAACTTTGGAAACAAAACAACATTCCCGTCGAAATAGTGCAAACTATCAGCAAATTCATCAAGAAAGAAGCTGTCCTGAAAAAGTTGTTTTCTTGACTTGATCTATCCACTGAAAGCAAGTTTAGTCATAATTTGGGTATAATGCCAATTACATACGGAAAAAAAATATCTAGCACAGGTTCCTGAAACGAAAGTTATGGTCTTCCTATGCATTCTTGATTGATCAAACGAAAATCCAGTTTCCCATCAATGTTCCTCACAAACCTGGTCCATAGTTAAATCCGAGCTGTTCAATTAACAAGCAAAAATATAAAAGTATAAAGGAGAATTTTGCTGAAATAGGGAAGACTTAAAGGCTCACCGGTCTATTGCTTAATCTTCAAAGCATCTTCAATTCGTTGGATTAGCTGAGCAGCAGTCATAGCACCCTCCTGAACACAATCAAACCAACTTCTTCTAAATTTAGAAGTTTTAAGGAAACAGTATTTCGATTCTATCGCTGTGTTGACAAGACACTCGCGACTTGTCACTACACCTACACAACGATAGAATAAGTTATAACTGATTACGTTATTATAGAAACATAGGTTGTTCAGAAACGAGGAGAAAAATACGGAACAAAAATTCAACTTACAAAGCGATCAAAAGGTTTTGCATCCTTGAAAATGATGAATGTAGGCAGAGCCTCTATATTGTATTTGTTAGCGATGCTAGGGTACTTCTCGGTGTCAATTTTGACCACTTGGATTTTATCGTTAAGAGAAGCACTGACCTCATTGAGGATGGGAACCATAAATTGACATGGGCCACACCTGTCCAATAGCAATTACATTAATCCATCTTCAGTTTTATGGTTTTAGATATCTGCATCTTCAACACGAGAAATGACAAGACAGAGGGCACATGAGGATAAAAGAATTAAAGCAAGTCATTCACATGATAGCCAGAGGGCTATAATCTTCTACCCGATATTATCATCCAACACTTTCAAGGCACCATACGCCTCTAAGAGAGTATAAAACTCTAAAAAGCACTGGGATCATACCCATCCCACAAAGAAAGACAAATCTCAATAAAAGGTGCAAAATATGTGTGTGTGTGTGTGTGTGTGTGTTGGGGTCTGGTTGGAAGGAACTAGTAGAACTTTTGAGGGGAGTGAGGAATAATGTGGTGTCATATGGAACAGGGTTAAATACTCGACCGCTCTTTGGGTATATCAAGAGAAGGAGTTTAAAAGCTTACTTTTCTTTGATCTTAACAACGGATTGGGATTTTTGATCTAGTGTCAAGTGAGTTGTTCTTCAGAGGAAATCTCTTCGTCTGATTACTTTTGTACATTATTTTTTGTCATTAATGAAATTTTGTCTCTTTTTCAAAAATAAAAATTACTTTATTCGGATCTTCAGTTTTACTTCCAAGGTAATCAAAATTTATAAAGTGAGGAGAAGCTAAGAGCCTCAGACATATTCGATTAAGCTGATTATACAGGCTTATTGGGGAAACAATCTCCCAAATGATCCTCTATTTAGATAAACGATATAATTTTGTAAAACCAATAATAGGGAACATAGTAATTAAAAAAGAGGGGTGAAGTTGGATAAATAGGTGGAAGATCTTACCAAGTTGCATAGAAGTCTACTAGCACAGGTTTATCAGACTTGGCTAGCAAATCATCGAAAGAGGAAAAAGTTTGCTTCTTTGCTTTGACCTACAAATTTCATTCACCAAACATGAACGTAAATCTTTATATCCCAAAAGCAGTTCAGAATTCATGCCACACTTGAATACGCAGAGCACACGAACAGACAACAACCTAAGACAGCTTGAAAAGTTGTGAAAACTCCATTGACAAGTGCACAAGGGGTTTACTGCAAATCAGCCTCTTGCCCTCAAAGCTCACAAAGTGGGCTCGGGGGATTTCTGAGTATCAACAAAAAAAAGAAAAAAAAAAGAAAAAAAAAACGAAGGTATCAAATCTTAAAATGTCAAAAAGTTGGCCACTTCGTGTTCATGAGGCAGGGAGATAGATCAAATCATCATGGTGAACTTAAAATCGACATTATCAATTTAAGATAAAGATGAAAGAGAAAGTTATACAACTTATTAAGCAACATTTTTATTAAGTAAATTCATTGCAAAATATAAGATCCACCTATTGGTTCCAATATACAAAGAAGGGGGACAAAGGTGCTCGTAAACAGTAACAAAATAAATAAATAATGCGGTTGGAAGGTAAGTAGATCATGGGGCAGCGGCTGGGCACTAGAAATTTACAATACTGATACAATCATACTTTAATTCGTTCAATGGATTAGAAGAATATCGAAAAGTTGTTTCCTTGAGTTGATGTATTTTAAAGTAATTTGAACTAATAGATGTATTCTGTCATTTTTTTAACATGAAACACCATTTGAAACAGGAAAATTTCCATATCCAAACTGAAGCATCAAAAGATATCATTGAAATAAGAGGGCAAATCCTTCCCTTGCCCATGTGACAGAGATTGTGTAATTGATTAGTTTTAAAATTTAGTTCTTATTTCTGTATTTCATTAGGAGTTTTATGGAATTAGGCTGGTTTCTCATTATCAACTTTTTCTTCTTTTACTTTGGTTTAGTTTAATAGTTTGTTATTTGATTTGCCCATAAACATGATAGTTTGTAATTTGTTTTCTTCTCTCCAGATTCAATCTTTTCTATCTTGGTAGTACATACTGTCTTAGTTTGATTTATAATTTATATTTTTCTGCTAATCCTCAAAAAAAAAAAAAAAAAAAAAAAAAACCATATATTTCTTTGGACGGTGTAATGGGATTTTCACAATATTATCTTAAGATTAATCTTGTGAGAGCACAGCAAACATATCTACCAGTAAACTTATTGATGTAATATTATGGAAAATGGCAATGGGGACTAATTTGGTTAGTTGACTTTGCAAATTTTTCCTACATAATCAGAAGAAAAAAAGGAACAAAACCAATTCCAGCAAAGCGTAAAGGAAAACGACAATAAATTCAAAGAAACTGAAACATGAGGATTTTAATTCATAAAAAAAAAAGTCAGACCAAAAGTTGAGCTTCACAAGAATTATACGTATTTCACATTAATCAGCGGTGGGAAAAATGAAACCTCCAAGCAACTGAAATTCCGCAACAAAAACACACAAAACTCAAAACATTTGACCTAAATATTAAGGAATATATATACACACACTTTTCTCGCTAATTTCCTCGGCTAATAGAAAGTAATCTGAGAAGAGAGAGAGACAAAGTGCTACCACGGGAAGAATTCTTTTCCTTCGCGAGGAAGAAGAAAGTCCTCCGGTTCCAATTCGCAGGGGAAATAGCAGAGAAGAAGAATATGAGGACAATCTCAATCCCGGTGATGAAGAAGAAATAGCGGAAGTAGCAAAGCGATTTGAACGGTCAGAGTTGAGAGAAGGAATCGAGGAGGTCGATACAGATACCGCCATTGGAGGAGCTCAAAAACAAGGCTTTTCTTTTCCCTTGGATAATCAGGACACAGGAGAAAGGGAAATATCCGGTTTTTGTTTGTTCGGTAAGAATCAAAATGTGAACTGAAAACACAAGAAAGAATAATAATAATAATAATAATAATAATAATAATAATAATAATAAAGGCTCCAAAGAAAAAGGAGTAACACGTAAGCAAATATGGTGTACAAGTTTACAGGATGTTTTGCGGAGTTTTTTTGTTCTTTTGAAGTGTAATTTAAGCGTAATTTTTGAGTTAAATTTGAGTTATAATTTGAGTTGAAGTTGAAATTTGAATAAAGTTGAATAAAGTTGAATAAAATTAAAACTTAAAAGAACGTAAACTTGAATAAAGTTGAAACTCGAGTTGTCTTTTTTTGAGTTTTTTAGACAAAAGAACATGCCCTTGATCTTCAAACATGGGATTTGAGTCTCCTTATTTTATCGAATTTAAATTTTTAATTTAAATTTTATTACATTTAAAAGTATTTATAAAAAATTACATTTAACTTTTTTAATACAGTAAATTTTTTTTATATAAAATCACATCTTAATTCAAATTAAAAACTTAAATTCACAAACTAAATGAAACTGAAATTTAATTAAAAACTTCGTTCAATTCGCTAATTCGAGTTGAGATGTGATGTTGTGTGAGAACTTTTTACTGTAGCAAAAAAGTTAGATGTGACTGTTTTTGAGAGCTTTTTACTGTAACAAAACTTGAATTCTAAACTCGAATCAGCAAAAAGAACGAGGCCTTAAATCCGCGAACTAAACGAGACCTTAAAATTTGATTAGACGTTTTTTTTTTTCAATAAAACAAAGTGAAGTAGAACAAATGTCGTTTAGCAAGGGATTTGAACACAAATGTCGTCTTTTAGGAAGATATTAAAAGAACGAGGCCTTAAATCCGCGAATTAAACGAGACCTTAAAATTTGATTAGACGTTTTTTTTTTCAATAAAACAAAGTGAAGTAGAACAAATGTCGTTTAGCAAGGGATTTGAACACAAATGTCGTCTTTTAGGAAGATATTATCTAAGCTCAAGTAGCGTTCAAGTAGTATTTGAGATTGGTCATTATCGCCATCTTCAATCAAATATAGGAATTTTTTATTGGGACTATTAAGACAGAATTTTTATTTTTATTTTTTTTCCTTTTTGCGCTGAAAGAAAACAGAAATTCCGTGGATTAGAAGGATATCTACGCTCGTGCAAGTCATAATAGGCATGTAATTCTCAAAATATACATGCAAGAATAAAAGTTCGTATTGTATTTTACAATTCCACTGCTGGCTTAGCAACTATAATCAAGTATGACAGAGAGAGAGAGGGAAGTAAAAGCTCACGGAAATAATCAGTTATTTTCCCACACACAAGTCACCAAATACAATTCCACTGCTGGCTTAGCAACTATAATCAAGTATGACAGAGAGAGAGAGGGAAGCAAAAGCTCACGGAAATAATCAGTTATTTTCCCACACACAAGTCACCAAATGAATGGTCAATGAACTGAAGTAACTAAACATATCCCATGAAGAAACCAGTTTTTACCAAACCAGTAAAAGCGTGTAGAAAAAAAAAATCTAATCATAAAGAGAACCTATAAGATCGTAATACTCAAAAACTTATCACCAAGGAAGTGTGAATATCTCATTGAATTACAATGTCTACCACCTAATTCGTGGAAGGAAAACCTTGGCAGAAAATTTATCCGTCACTCGTCCACGTGAAGGCCAAAAGAACAATGGTGATGGAGAAGAAAATGGTCGCACAAGCAAACAACCACATTGCCCTGCTTGGATCTCTACTCTGGTTCTCTCGGCTGCCCAGCTCGATCTCCTGCAGAAGCTCTCTCACTTCATCAATGTCAGAGTCCTTGGCAGCATGAGTTAGTTGACCTTGAATCTTCTCGAGCATCTCTAGCCTCCTTTCTTTCACGGTGTTCTTCGCTGGCCAGATGAAACCTGTCATCTTCCAAAGGAGGATTCCCACGTAGATGGCCACGATACAGTCCACAGTGTAGTGATGGCGTTCTCGTACTTCCCTCTGCGCACTATGCAGCACGAGCAGCCATATGAGAGCCGAGCTAAAACCTCCATAAGCTTCCTGCACAAGTTAACTTGTCCTTTAGAAAGCCACAGTGGCAATAGTTATTAGAAATAGATGCTTCAAATTTCAAAACTGTAGGTATACCGTCCATGCCATAGCAGTTAATACAGCAACCAGCATGTGGCCACTGTATATAAGGTCATTACAGCCACCGCCGGCTTTCTTCAGCAAACTGTACCAAGAAGATCCTTCTGATGCCGTGGGTCGCAGAAAATTGATTAGGAAACTCATTGAGCCCCAATCTGGTCGAAAGTCAGTTAAGTATTCTCCAGGATCAGCTGAGAAATAAAGGAAACAGGTTAAACAGTAATTAAACACCACCTTATTATACCAATTTAAGGGACAAATGCAGAAGAGTGTTTGTTTCTATGGACTAAAGAATCAAAAATTCAGAAGAATGAACATAAACTTCAAACCTTTTACCAAAATATCGCAACTATAAGAGGAAAAAAAAAGTGAAAATATTGAGATGCTTTAAATTGCCAGATGACATAGAGGGGAAAAACAAAAAGAGAATGCCAATTTGATATGGGAATCATGAGAGGAGATAAAATCAATAAATACTAGGAAAATATAATTGGCCCGAATGAAGGGTAAGGATTAAGCACTATTTTTTAGCTTAAAGTTGCATATCAAATAATCCAAAGAAATAATGTCCAGCAGACCAAGAACAGAAGGAACATCAACCTTACCATAAGCTACATCCTCTCTTATAATCTGGTGTATAGCATTAGCATCTGATGCATAAGGGACATAATATTTTTGAGCCCAGGGATGAGGATACGCAGGTACTCTGAACCGAGCATTTGCACACCAAGGCCTGGCTGATGGAAGAATTGTTGATACAAAAGTTATGGCACGAAGAAGGCGGCCAATAGCCATGGTGAACATGTATCTTGCACCAAGTCCAAGTCCAGGAGCTTTTACGGAGTCAAATAGAACAGAGAATGCCAACATCATAAACAACATGAGAAAGTGGTGCAGTCCGATTATACGGGCTCTCAATATCTCAACTATTGCATGTGGAAGTTTCTCATTAAGAGCAAGGAGCAACCACTGGCCAGTGTCTGGAAGAGGAGGTGTGTCACTGTCAAAGATTACAAAGCTGTCAATAATCTTTTGTGGTATTTTTAGCAGAAATGAAGACCCGGTGTAGCATGTGTGGAACAGGTATTTTTTCAATCAACAAGTTTAAATGAGTGAATGCCAGGCATTTTACAGGTAATGACATTTACTATAAATCAATCTATTAATATTAACACTTTTCAAGTTGGTCCAATTCCATAAAGGGTATCTTTGTGAGGTGGAATATAAGAGAGGACTAGGATAACATAACAATATCTTGTATTTTGGGCTAAAAGAATGAACTTTTGGATTGGAGCAAAGTACTCCGTCCCACAAGAACCTGAGTATCTCGTCAGAACTCATCCCACACCAATGTCACAAATCCGGCAACATAATGCAACGAATATTGTTCTTTTCAGTAATTATTTTTTCCTTTTCTTTTACTAAATATGATTGTTGATGTTTTGCAAAAGCCAAAACGTTTTTCTCTGATTTCTCATTATAGGGTGGAATCCCCTTTACAATGTGCAACTTCACACGCAAATTATCAAAAACATCTAGATTAAAATTGCAATAGAAAGAAAGATTAAAGCATTTTTACGCAGACTTTGATAAACATGGTGAACAGCAATTTCACACACTTCAAATCAGAGTTTCTTGTAGTTCTTTTTGTGTTCAATTAGAATATACACAACATTAAGATAAAAATTAGAAATTAGATAATCAATTTAATATCCCACCACTTTGGATATGTAGGCCTCGATCGTTTCGCTTGTTCAAGTTGAGAATTTGAGTTAAAAAGTGAATTTATGTGGGAGAAAATACTGTAGCAGAAAAAGCCAAATTTGAATTTTTGTGAGAGAAAACATTGTAGCAAAAAGTTGAATTATAGTTCGAACTCGAAACAAATGGGGCCATACTTTCTCCCATCCCTCAATCCAATACTGCCAGTATTAGGACTAAGAAATATCCATTCCCCTCAGTATCCTAAGTCCCAGTCTTATCTAATGCCATGTAATCCTATCAAACCAAATACAGCCAAAGTGAATCACGAAAGCAGGGTAAATTTGAGTATTTTCTCCGTCCCTGTCCCTGCCTCTCTTCCTTCTACTATTATATTTTACTTTATTTTTCATTTGGCTTACTTTATTAAGCAAACAACTCAAGCGGAGCAAACCTTTCATCTTGTAATAGCAGTTGATATTCCTAAATGAATTCACAAGGCCATAATCCAAATACGAATACAAGACACAATCATAGCAACAAACAGAATTACACGCTCAAGAGCTTAAACAAAAACTAAGGAAGCTGCTAAATTAGGCCGGACCTACCAAAAGTAAGTGCAAAAAGATTCACATGCCCGAGAGCTTAAATAAAAACTAAGTAAGCTGCTAAATTAGGTCTAGCCTACCAAAGTAACTGCAAAAAGATTCACATGGCAAAATCTACTAAAAGTTCTTTCGGAAAAAATATGAATGAACCTCTAAGGAAGACTTCATTCTTTTAATTTTTACACTCAGCAATTGAAAAACTAATAGATTACATATAGATTACATGTTCAAGAGCTGGAGCTCAAAACCAATTGGTCCAATTCAGCAGCTAAACTTAGGTTTGACCAACCAAACTAAGAAGGGTAAAAAGATTCATTCACAACTATAAACCTGAGCCGCTGAGCTATAATCCCATTTTCCAACACTGAAATCAAAATCTATAATTCGAGCATATTCCTAAGAGTTTTAAGCACTTGTCACTTTTTCTCGACAATTTTGTACTTGAATTTCCAAAGTAGCACCAGTCAACTCTATAAAAGTGTCAAGTTACGGATGTTCACAAGACACATGGGCTACGAAATTAAAACTATTCCGTCCAAAAGTTGTTTCTCGTTAGCATTAGTGTTAATTTTTCATTATTCTACATCCAATAACTAAATTTTAACCAAAAAATTAAATCAAGGAAGAAAGTGCCGCATCATGAGAAATTCAGTGGACACGAAGTGCTAACAATCCAATTCCTAAATCCCAAAACATCAGATCACATAATTTAACGACACTTAGTCAAGTGGTTGCGTGTGTAAGTGACTGATCTGGAGTTCGAATTCTAGTGGCTTCATTTCGTCTTAATATTGTGCATGTGTCATAGACCCCAGACCGTATTCAAAAACAAACATCAGATCACATAAGTCCCAATCAATGTAATAGCATCCCTAAATTAACAAGGGCAAAAGGATCCATTCGCGTCACATGCCTAAATCTGAGCTACATTCCATATCAGGAAATATTCAACTCAAAATCTACATTTTGACGACAAATTCCTAGCTCCCAAAAAATAAAATCAGATTCATCCAATCAATGCACTAAGCGAGAAACTAAGCTATAATTGAACTTCCAAATCAACAAATAGCCAAACAAAACTCCACATTTGGACTATAATAATTTCCAAATCAGCATCATTTTTCCCAAAAATTTCCAGTTTCAATCAATGTAACAAAAGAGAAATGCACAAAAATCAAGAAACTTGATGAAACAGAAGGACGAAATTAAGCTGAAATCGAAATTCCAAAAAGCTACCACTAGACCTACCTGTGCCAGTCGAGGCCGAGCACGGCGGTGACGAAGCGAACGGAGAGAGCTTCGAAGAGGAGAGCGGAGAGCATGAAGATCATCGAGGCGAGGAACGGCAACGCCGATCGGAGCTCCGCCGACCAGTGGCGGTAGAACGGGACTCGGCTGACGGCCACCACCGCTAGCGCCGTCCAAAGCAATGGCTGCAGCCGCGCGTGCCACGCCGGAGACACGTGGCGCAGGTAGTCGACTGCCACGTACGAAATGGCGGCGGCGCCAAGGCCTCCGCCGCCACCGGGCCTCGACGCCGGCGGCCACGGCATGGGACAAGGAGTAGAGTGGAGTGGAGTGGAGTGGGGGGTCTGTTTGCTTTCAAGGAAAGTGGGAGTTTGTAAGTTTGGTTTTTGGTCGGGGAAGGTGGGCTTTTTATGGAAGTCACAACTCACCATAAACATTACCATTAGAAATTATCTGTTTAATTAATATTGTTCTTATTACTATTATTATTTTGTAAACTTTACTAAGTAAAAATATTTATAAAATAACTGAGTATTAAACGATATGACTTGTTTCATTTATAGGTTTGAACAAAAATTTAAATTTTATAAGAAAAAATACTGTAATAAATAAATTTAAATAATAGTTCGAATATATGAAATAAACAAGTTAATAATAGATTCTATAGAAATAATGACAAATAAACAAAACAATTTAACCACTATTTTTAAGGGTTACTTTTCTTTTTATACATTGTATTTTAAATTTATTCAAAAAGTATACATTTGATTTTATTTCATAAAAGTATTTCTTTAGATTTCATTTAATATATAAATTTACACATTTTTTACCAATCAACACTTAATTTTGACCTAAAAAATGTCTAAAGTACCCTTAAATACGAGAAAGAAAAAAATAAAAAAATATTTAAATATATATAAAAATAGAAGATCTTCAAAGATGCTCTTTCTCTCTTTACATATGTTAGTTGATAATAAGTACAAATTTTACATGCGTTTAAAATTTGAATGTATAATCTTGAGAACATCTAGTTGATCAAAGTGATTCGGATTATAAAGAAAAGATCGAGCCCGTTTGGTTCATGCATTAGAATCATGATATTAGAATCATTTTCGATTTACGTATATTTTTTGTGAAAGAAAATACTATAGCGAACCATGAACCATGATTCGAATCAGAGAACGAATCCTCCAATCAAACGGGCTCATGATCAATACGAGGGATCAAAGAAGAATGAAGAAACGAGGAGAAATATTTAAAAAGGATGATAATATTTTTTTTGTTTAGATTACAAGAGACCAGGCATGATTAGAGGTCCAATTATGACAACTCAAAAAAAAAAAAAAAACAGAGAGAGATAGTAAGAAGGGCAAAAATGACGTACTAAAAAAAGGTTCGTCTGGTGTGTTTGGTTGGTGGATTCGTGTCATGATTCGAATCATGATTCGTGGTTCGTTACAATATTTTCTCTCACAAAAAATACACGTAAATCGAGAATGGTTCTGAATCATAATTCTGAATCCATAAATCAAACGTCTATAAATAAATTTGATCTTGAAAAAATCCGACGACGAAGAGCAATGAAAAATTTTTAACTCGCGTGTGTTTCATGTTAATTGATAATCATGAGATAAGATCTCTTTAATATCTAATAAGGCACCTACCTCAATTTTAAGTAGGGCTCTTCATAAACCCGCAAAACTCGCAGGTCAACCCACCCCATCCCAACTCAATTTGAAAAATGTAATTTTTAGTATTAAATTTTTCTTTTCGGCCCATTCAATGTATGACCCGAAGTTTTGGGGCCGGGTGTGGGTTAGGCCTATAATGGTCCGCACACCCCAACTTAATCTGCGCTCTAACTTGCCTCATCTAATATCTAACCTTAGGCAGGCAACTCATTTTCACTCTCTAGTTTTTTCATGTTTGAATTAAACATCTATGTTTGCTTTATGTTAAGACTAATTTATGAGTGTAGACTAATTTATATTTGCTTTGTGTTTGATGTTGGATGGACCACTTTGCTTCATGTTTGATGTTGGATTGAACTTTGAATTTCTATCTATTTGAATATTGGAGTTATTATTTCTATTTGATGATAAACTTTGAATGTTGGATTAAACTTTGAGTCTTTGATTCTTTAAATGTTAAAACCGACCACCCAATCCATCCCTCACCGCCCCAACCCAACCCAAACATCATTGGGTTGTGAAATTTTTATAACATCGTTAGGACCAAATATGTGCAACCCACATCCTTTGAAGCGAGAAAAGAAAAAACCCTATCCTACCCTAATACAACCCATGAGCGGCCCTAATTTTAAGGCATAAATACCTAACAAGTTTTTTGCCTACATTACATTGATTTTTCTTTTCGTAATTAATTTTGCTTAATATTTACCATTAATGACGTTGACATGACTAGTACAGGACGTGTTGTTTTAGGTAACAACTTTAATAACTAATAATTAATGCTATTAAAATTTGATTTGAAAAGAGAACTTATTTCATAATTTCCTCTAGTAAAGTAACTCAAACTAGTTAAGTGGGATGCAAATATACTAACTCATACGTATTTTCCTATCGGGAGATACATGACAAAATTTTAATAATTGAACCAATGGTACTTATGCACATGTACCCTTAATTAATGAATAGCATAGCGTAAGATATGATTATGATCATACTGACAACTCTAGCTTCTACTAAGTTCGAAAGAATATCTCCAAACATACACTAAGAAATAATAAGGAGAGTAAGAGAATCCATTTTTCATACCATTAAATCAAACTTAAAAATAAAAAAAAAAATAATTTCATGGTCCGTTAAAACTTTTATCTTGAATTGTAAAGTAGCAGCTGGCTAGCTGATAGATTTTTAATTTTAATTGCTTCATATTATTTTTTCAGTGGTTGAAAGTAAAACAAAAATACTTGAGAGCCGCGGGTGCTGAACACTACAACTAGTTATAAGAAGTGATTATCTTATATGTTATGAAGCTTACTTTCTATTAAAATGTTGCTAAGATAGGAATCATTTGAAATTGGTAGTTTAATGAAGATTAATAATTATACTCTTGCTTAGAAAGAGATAAAAAATAGTCTAGCGCTTACGCCTATTCGCCGAAGCTTGGATAAAATTAATTTGCGAAAAAGCTGTGCCTATTTGATTTCCCCCCCAAAAAATAAAAATAAAAATGCTCTTCATGAGTGCAAAGAAATTCAAGCTATTAAAATGGTCGTGTTAATTATGACTAATAATGGTGGCAAGAAGATGAGTCTCATATGTCGAATGTTGCTTTTGCGAGTGAAATTATCAATCAATATTAGTTTTATATGCAGTTATGCACGTCCTATTGTTGCTTCTGATCAGAGATTATGTACTCTTTTATCTGGGATGAATTTGGTTTTCATGCTTGGGTTTTGATCATGAGGATGCCTTTTCCGTTTATTCAGTAACGAAGCAAGAAAAAATTTTCAGGGGCTTGAGTTAAACTAAAATTTTGAATTCAATTAATTGTATAATAGAGTATTTTAAAAAAAAAAAAAAAAACTATGGTTAGATGCAAAAGTTAAGAGTGCAAATGAAAAACTTTTAAACTCTTGCATAACATCTAGAGTCAGAAAATAAAACTTTACAATTAAGATCAAAATTAAGGATTTAAGTGAAAACTATTATAACATTCAATATAGAATTTAAAAATAAAAATTTTAGGGTGGCTAAACAAAGAAAAAATGAGGTAAAACAAGAATTTTACTGAACAAATTAAAAGAGCTAGCTTGGCTGAGGGGGGGCCCCCTAGGCTTAAGCTAGCTTCATCTCTACGTTTATTAATTAAATTTAAGAGAAAAATGATATCTTGAGAGATTTAACCAGTTTTTGCTTCATTAATTTTAATTTATGTCTAATTTGTAAGTCTTTTCGGCCTGGTTAAGCTTTTGATACCCACGTAGTTTACTGTTTCTTTTGATTCATTATTATATCTTGAGAGATTTAACCGGTTTTTGCTTCATTAATTTTAATTTATGTCTAATTTGTAAGTCTTTTCGGCCCGGTTAAGCTTTTGATACCCACGTAGTTTACTGTTTCTTTTGATTCATTATTAGTTTTGTGATTTTCTTTAGTTTACTTGATAATTTTGATAACGCTTGATGTGGGATTAAAATTTTAGTATGTGGCAACATTATTGAGATGTGCTCTCTAATTTCTTGATATCAATTATTTCCCTCTTTTTATATTGCTTAGGGAAAAAAGAAAATTCTGTCTAAAGCAACGTCTGGCTTTAGACGTCAAAAAGTCCACGACTATGGGGCAAAACCGGCCACTTGTAGATAATATCTTATCTTTGAATTTCTTTTTTGATCAACTTTATATTAATTATAAGTTGTGTCTTCCTTATCTTCGACTTCTCAAACTCCTATATAAACATATCTCATTAAGATAGCAATATATACATGATTACTAGAAAATGATGTTGAACTATTTCTGCAAAAACTTTCTGGTTCAGCTCGTTTTGAGCTTCTTGAATGGCCAAGACAATCTTTGTGTGTTGGCCCTTCCTACGGATGGATTCACAAGGGTGAACTTGTCGCCGAGCAACTTTCAGTTGCATAAGCCATGGGACCAGCCTACCGGGAATCGCTACAGTCTTGTCGATGAAGGCTCTGTGGAGAAGTTCTGGGTCTACCGGACTGACCAGCCCTTCAAACAAGGCAGTCCGACCAAGCCGCGCACCGAAATGCGCATTTCGGTATGCATATACAGTCTTTTCAACTTTCACGTAACATATAATTATTAGAGGTATAATATATATGACATTTATTGTTCGATACGTATAATATTGACATTGTATAATAATAGTTTAGACTAATTAAATTTTTTAATTTTACATCTTTCTAATGTAAATGTTATAATTATTAGAGATATAATATATATGACGTTTATTGTTCGATACGTATAATACTGACATTGTGTCATAATAGTTTAGACTAATTAAATTTTTTGATTTTACATCTTTCTAACGTGTTTCGCACTTTTATATGCTATTTGTAAGTACAACCCTAGCAATACTTCTTCTTTCCCATTTTCACAGACCATCATTTTGGACTTATAGTGCTTGCAGTAAATGTCTAGGTATTTGACTTATTACTGCACCAATATTCTTGCACTCGGTTCCCATTTACATCATTATACATATTAAATATAGATATATTACTTCTGTACCAACAATCAACGCAAGTATTGTGCTGGAAATCTAATTTAATGCCTGCCGAACTTCCTAAAGATTTATAAAGAGATATAGATAATCTATCATTTTAATTTGAGTAACTAATTACTATTTGGGTGTAAATTTAGTTCGCATGTTTCCTAACTACGTTAATTTTATTCTCTTACATGCAATAGTTTTTTTTTTAAATCACTAATTTTATTCTGATGTTGGGCTTCATCTTTTCTGGCTGGAAATAGCATGTATAGAAAATTCAATATTGCAATTTTTTTTTTTCAGCATTGGATAATAATCTAATTAGCATTAATTAGATACTTTGAGTTATAGCTATAATATTAATCTTGATAATTAATTGTTTTTTCTTAGGATATTTACATTTTTATACCCTCTATTTTAGGTTAATTCAAAAAGTATACATTTGGTTTTTGATCTCATCAAATATATATCTTTAGATTATGTTTATTACACAAATTAATACTTTTTTAAAAAAAAAAAATTTGACCCGAAAATACCTAGATTACCCTTAAAACAGTAAACTCTAAAAATAAGGAAAAAAAAAAAAGAGCATAGAACTGAAAAGGGATTTTCCTCCCATGTTCATCTCCACGCACAGCATCCCAACCTCAACAAGCAAAGCCATCTCGTATACTTCTCAACCAACATATCAAAAGACCATAGTTCTAGACCCAACAGATTCCCCATAACATTTAACAACACAAAATCCAAAACATCAAAAGGAGACTTCCATATTTATCGTGCAATCAATAACGTCATCACCTACAAGGAAGAAAGAATTCGATCGAATTACAGAGTTAAGCTGATCGAGTTAAGATCGCCGAGCTTTATAAAGACATTGACGATGAATATTGGAAGGGTTTCTATGAGGCTAAAGACGCAATTGTTGATTACAGTCCAGGAGTCAAACTTAACCTGTCATTTGATGCTGCAATAAAGGGTGCCTCTCGCTGCGGATCACCTGCTGTTCAAACTCCTTCCATCCCTTCCTCGCCTGCTGACAACCTTGAATATGAAGGTGATCCTGAAATGATTGAACCTATGAAAGAGCTTCAAAGATCATTTGGTGTTGACCCCCATCTGCAGACTTTGGTTGGCGGGAGTTGGGCGAGATAAGGGGGTTAGGTTTTCTTTAAGTTTCAAGTTTTTTAGAGCTCTTTTTTTTAAAATTTTTTTTAATTTTATAGTTTTTCTAATTTTTTTGTTTGTTTGTTTATTTGACGGTATTCTGGGTATTTTTAGGTTAAAATTGAATGTTGACCTAAAAAAGTATGAATATGTGTGATAAATCTAATTACTATGAATGCATATATTTAATAAGATTAAAAACTGAATGTGTACATTTTGAATTAACTTAAAACAAAGGGTATAAAAATGTATATAACCCCTTTTTTTCTTTTCTGTAGGGACATGACTATACATCTGGAGTGTGGCAATTCGAAGGCAACTTTTACGTGCCTAGCGGGACCACCGGTGCATGTATAATGCAGGTGTTCGGTGCAGCCAGTCAAGCCACAACTCTGCAATTAAGAGTGTATGATGGTAACCTGAGAGTTTACCAGAGCCAAGGGGTGGCTTCTAACATCTACGACAAGTGGTTCAAACTGAATGTGATCCATGACGTTGGTAATTCTAGAGTTACAATCTTCATCAACAATGTGCAAAAGGTTGTCGTTGGAGGCCGAGGCCCGTCTACCTTTTACTTCAAGTATGGAGTTTATGCTCAGGATGGTTCTAGTAACTACATGGAGTCAAGGTGGCGTGGAATCAGAGTCTTCAGAAGATAATTATAAGGGTCTTTGATCCTATTTTAGAATAATATTATTTTTTGTTTGTAATAAAGTGTGTGGGTATATATACGTATACATATATATATATATATATGTACTATCATGACTAGGGTAAGACCCTAGATATAGGAGCATGGACATGCAGAAGTTAAAACTTAAAACACAACTATTGCTGCTTGATGGAGACATGAGAAAGCTGTTTGTGTCATTACTATGTATTATTTTCTGCTAGTTAAACCTTGTTTGTTTGTTGCCTATCTATCAGTTTCTTTTAGCTTAAAGTAGAAGAAAGGATTAGAAATCTAAACGTGATATAACAAGCTATTTTTCATTAGTTTCAAGTCTATTTATTTAATTATTGTTAAAAAAGTCTATCTATTTATTTTTTTTTTTTAAATTGAGAAGTAATTAACATAGGGTTTGTTTGGTATTGTTTATGGGGTTAATCTCACTGTCGCCACTAAACTTTGAGGGTCAGTATTTGGGTAGACATTTTGTTTTAAGACATTAATATATTTTCATAGGTAGAAAATTATATTAGACCAGATTAAAGTTGACTTGTTTAAATTAAAATTTATGTTTAAAGAAAAAAATTCACTTTAAACAATCATATGTGTTCATCTTAATCTTGAAATGGATTATAGAATACATATTCTTGACTTATATTTTTCATGTACTAAAAGTGACGTCTTGATAATAAATTATAAGTGATAGAGGTAAAGTGATATTAAAAAAAACTTAGGACCCGTTAAACAACTCATTATATATTATCAAAACCTCATTTCAATTTATTAATAACAAGAAAAAGTAAAAAAAAAAAAAAAGAATAGAATCTAGTCATAAGGGCTAACCAAACAAGAAAATAAGAAGAAAAGCTTACGGAAAAGACGATTAAACAACGGGAATCAATAATGTTAGTGTAAGACCTAACATCAATGTTTTATATTGGTTATATATAATCAAACATTGTTTATATGGAATCAATTTTGTATTATATGTATATTAATAAAAGTACTTTTAACATATTGATTATGTATTCAAATCAATGTTTGGTTTTAGCTAGTGTCAGACCTAACGAATATATTTCTATTGACTAAAAATGAGAGGCAATTAATCAGATAATCAGATTCTTCAATTAGAAAATTACATTCTTTGATAAAAAAAAATAAAATTAAACAACCATACGAAATAAAACGTTTGATGTTACTCGAAGCCTCTAGCTCGGCTTTACTCCAACTAACCTACTCCAAATAAATTATTTTGAATGCTCTTGAACTAGGTTAGAATTATAATTCTATTAAATTAGAATAACTTTTCTTAAATTTATTAGTCCTCATAGGTTCGACCTCCTTCTCTATTAATTTATATTTCAATCTATTTGTATGCTTGTGATTATAATTAAATTTGCAGAACACCCACACCGATTATGTACTAGTTAATACACCATTAGTTAAAGGTAACATTGCTCCAAAATAAAAATATAAAAAAAAGGCAAGGTGACAGCGCTTAAAAAAATAGCGAAAATTACACTATACTCCTTAACTTATATCCAAATTATATTAATAAAAACATATTAATCCCCCGCGCAAAATAAATAAAAAGAAGAGCCGTTTTGGCCACTAAAATATGCACAAATATTTTTATTTGTATTATTGCACATAACAGTTGAGTTGTATAAAAAGTTATATTATCTAATCACTATAAATGACTTGCACGTTAAATCGCTCATCAACTATAAGTTCTTGATTCCTGTTTACATTTACTCATGTTTAGGGTTGAAATCTAACTTGGACATATATAGGAAAATTACGCAAAGTTGAAGACAAAAGGATCAAACTTATGAAAATCTGTCAACATTATTGAAATTCAACGTGACCCAAATATTTCTTCCTATAATTATATAATGGTGGTGGTAATGTAAAACTAAAGGAACCACACAATGTGGAAGCAACGTCATTCAATGCAAAACTCATATATATATATATATATATATATATAGCCACGTTATATAAGGAGTACTTACCAAAAATATAGAGAGAAGAAATTAAGCTAACAGCGGAAGAAGAATAATAAAAACAAAAATGAGACTGGATTGGTGTCTCAATGACTGCAAGAAAATAGTATTTGTGAGTTTGTTCCTGCAGTTATGGTTATCGATGATGAGGATTTGTAGTGCACACGATCCTACTGATGGATTCACTCTTGTTCCGTTAACAGCGCAGGACTTTAGGAATGATAAACCTTACAATGAACCTCTCAAAAATCGCTACAGCTACAAAGATGGAGTCAGAAGGTTCTGGGTCTACAACAACGACAAGCCTTTCAAGCCTTCTAGTACCACCAGACCGCGTTCTGAAGTACGCATCAAGGTAATTCTCTCTCTCTCTCCCTCCTTCACTCCCACCACCGGTGGTCCTAATGGACTCTTCTAGTGGGCACTAGGTTAGGAGTGTGAAGATACTTATTGATTTTTTTTTCGTCTCCCTCCTTTCTTCACTCCCACTACCAATGGTCCTAATAGACTCTTCTAAGAGACGCTATGTCAGGAGTGTGAAGATACTACTAATTATTTTTTTGAGAAAAAAAAAAACAATATATATCCATATTAAAAAATTCAAAACCAAACTTAATATCCATAATTTCTTTTAGTACAACTTATGCCTTTTTCTATTATTATAATTTTTTTATGTTTTATGACAATTCATGTTAAAGGATCATGACTACTCTTCTGAAGTTTGGCAATTCGAAGGCTATGCTTTCGTGCCCAAAGGTACCTCCGGCGTTACCATAGTGCAAATCCAAACGCAATATTCAGGTGGAGTCGATATATAGGGGCTTGAGAGATTCGGGTGAGGGAGGATGGGAGCGTCATCACGCATCTAGGTCGGTTGTTGTCCGTCGCAGATTGGGGGGTTAAAGTATGGGTTCACTGTGATGGGTTACAATGAGGGCGAGCTAAGGCGGTGGTGGGGGGTAGGGTTGGCGGGAGTTGGGTGAGACAAGGGTTAGGTTTTCTTTAAGTTTCAAGTTTTTTAGAGCTCTTTATTTAAAAAAAATTTAAAATTTTAGAGTTTTTCTAATTTTTTTGTTTGTTTATTTGACGGTATTCTAGGTATTTTTTAGGTTAAAATTTAATGTTGACCTAAAAAAGTATGAATATGTGTGATAAATCTATTATGAATGCATTTAATGAGATTAAAAACTGAATGTATACTTTTTGAATTAACCTAAAATAAAGGGTATAAAAATGTATATAACCCCTTTTTTCTTTTCTGTAGGGACATGACTATACCTCTGGAGTGTGGCAATTCGAAGGCAACTTTTACGTGCCTAGCGGGACCACCGGTGCATGTATAATGCAGGTTTTCGGTGCAGCCAGTCATGCCACAACTCTGCAATTAAGAGTGTATGATGGTAACCTGAGAGTTTACCGGAACCAAGTGGTGGCTTCTAACATCTACGACAAGTGGTTCAAACTGAATGTGATCCATGACGTTGGTAATTCTAGAGTTACAATCTTCATCAACAATGTGCAAAAGGTTGTCGTTGGAGGCCGAGGCCCGTCTACCTTTTACTTCAAGTATGGAGTTTATGCTCAGGATGGTTCTAGTAACTACATGGAGTCAAGGTGGCGTGGAAATAGAGTCTTCAGAAGATAATTTTAAGGGTCTTTGATCTTATTTTAGAATAATATTATTTTTTGTTTGTAATAAAGTGTGTGGGTATATATACATATACATATACATATATATATATGTACTATCATGACTAGGGTAAGACCTAGATATAGGAGCATGGACATGCAGAAGTTAAAACTTAAAACACAAATATTGCTGCTTGATGGAGACATGAGAAAGCTGTTTGTGTCATTACTATGTATTATTTTCTGCTAGTTAAACCTTGTTTGTTTGTTGTCTATCTATCAGTTTCTTTTAGCTTAAAGTATAAGAAAGGATTAGAAATCTAAACGTGATATAACAAGCTATTTTTCATTAGTTTCAAGTCTATTTATTTAATTATTGTTAAAAAAAGTCTGTCTATTTAATTTTTTTTTTTTTGAAAAGTGAGAAGTAATTAACATATGGTTTGTTTGGTATTGTTTATGTCATGACTGAGAAATTTATCGGAATTATTGTATAGGATAATATTCTCTAGAATCCTTTGTATCATTAATATAAATACTTTTATGATAAATATTTACTGATATAAGTATGGAATAGCAAGTTATATGCTAAAGTTCAGAAATTTCAGACTTTTATGATACGATGCAGTTACCCTTTTTTAGATTGTATTTAAGAAAGAAGTATGGAATGTTGTGTTAAGCCCACAAGTGAGTAAACACATGAATGATAAGTTTAAGAAATGGAAAACGATTGAGAGACATCAATTCTTGGGTTTTAGAAACAATCGAAACGAAAAACGGACGAAAAAGGGGTTCGGAAGGCCGAACCGAGAAAATTAGGGTTTCGACTGATTTGAGTTGACCGAGTCAAAATTTGTTAACCAAGAGTCGACCAAAACGTCGCCCTCAAAAAGTTAGTCAAGAATGGTCAAGGTTGACTAAGTTGACCATTTGTCCGAAAAACACGTATAAAACGCGTACCAGATATGAATTAAACTAAACCAAAATAGGATAATTATTAAATGATCAATGGTTGAGATTAAAAGTGAAAAATTGGATGAAAGGTTGAGATTGAGCCATGTGGCATCTAATGTGGCCGGCCAAGCTTGGAGGAGAGGAAAAGGAAAGATATTTTTGGGATATTTTGTAAAATTTTGTAAAAAGGTCATTGGAAAAGTTAAAATTTCATTTTTGGACTTTTGCTTTATGTATTGGTTGGTTCATTAAAGGTATATTAGGTGAGAAATGGTCATTTCTCATGCATAAGAATAGAGAGCATCAGCCAAGAGAGAAAGAGAGGAAAAAAAATTTCAAAGTGAAGAAAAATGAGATTTAAGTGGAAATCGACGGAATTATCGAGGAACAGCATCACCGAAGCTTGTTCTTCACTCTCTAAGGTGAAATTTCAAATTTTTCCTCTCATTTCTTCACTATGGCTGCACGTGGGATGTTGTAGAAAGCATGAGGAAAATTTCACTTAAGTATGGTAGTTAGTTTTTAATGGTTAAGGAACTTAAAAATTGATGAATCAAGGATAGATTCTAGGTTAATTGACCTTTGTTTCTATCAATTTTTGGTATGGAGAAATTTTATGGAAATATGAGGAAACCCTAGAAATTGTGATATAATTGAAAGAGAAAGTATGTGAATGGTGTTTGATGGTGGAAACAACAGATAAAACGAGCTAAGGTTAGCTCGAAAAACATGTAGAAATAGGCGGAACTCTACCGAAATTTAGTTTGAGTATTTTGAACTAAAACCGGATTTCAAGAGCAATAAGGGATTAAAGTATGAAAAGAAAGGTGATTCGATAATCAATGATGTGTAGAAACCGAACACAATGAGAATTCACAGTTCTGGACCGAAACTGAAAAATTAGGCCCATGACTGAGGAACGTGCACGATTTTAGTGCAAATTCTTGAGATATGAAATATTTTGGGATTGAATACCAAATATAAGGATTGTAGACCTTTCTGAAGTAAATTTCAATGTAATTATTGGTCTTAGATTTTGAATCTAATGATAAAAAATTTATGCAATAGGATCGATTAACGATCGAAGTTGGAAAGCATCAAGTGAGACAACGGATGCATCGTTAGCGAAACTTTGGTAAGTATCAGTAGTTTTTCTTGTCTACAACACGAGTAAATTTATTTCTCTATGTTGCTCAATCCGAGCATATTGTAGACAAAATGTATGCCAGAATGTGAAAGATGACTCCTGAATGTTAGATACAATGTTATGTATGTATCTACAAGACTTAAGTCGTCGTAGAACTTGATTCTGGCAAAAGTATGTGTCGATATTAAGTCGAGGTCAAGTTAAGAGAAAAGTTAAACTTTAACAAAAAGTCAATCTCATGATAAATTGCTCAAAAAAGCACAAATTCATAAGATTTAACTAAAGTTACCGTTTCAATGAGAAAATTGGTAACTGGTAAGAGACCAAACATCCTGTTTGTACCAGCCTTCGAAGGAAAGGTTATTATGAGACTATGAAAGAAATGAAACCGTGACTGAGTTGGATTGGTTAGCTACTCCACTCCTCACTAGTTATGCACGCTATGGTACAACAAGACAGAGCCCATAAGAAGTAAAAGACAATAAAATGAAACACAACAAAAACCGTTTTATATAAAGGTACGGTATCTGTAAAGAAGAATGAAAAGAATGAGAAACACAAAATGAAAGTCGTTCAGAACGTAAAAATATAATATGAACGACTAAAATGAGACGAAAGCTGAAAAGTATGTGATGAAAGAAGAAGAACATAAGTCATACATGTTTTAGTAGTATAGAATGTAATAGGATATATGACATGAATGCATATATGGGTATGCATAATTATTACATCTATTATGACCTATTGATACTTGCTGAGTGAAAGCTCATTAAGTTTGTTCGTGTTGTAGGAAGCTCGGGTAAGGCACCGGCTCCCTGAAACTTGTTGCTGGGCATGCAGAGAGGATGTAGTAACGGAGTGTGGGCAAGTGGGTTGTAGATGCATCACATGTTTTGTATAAAAAGTAAATAGTATTTTATGAATATAGATGACTTATGTAACAAAAGTTGAGTTTACGAGACAGTGAGGCTATGCATAGCAACCTCTAGTCACAATGTATGATTAATGTAATAAAATGCTAGCTAAATGCTACAACATTTTACGAATGGCTGAAAATAGAATGCTAGCTAAATGCTACAGCATTTTACGAGTGGCTGAAAACAGAATGCTAGCTAAATGCTACAGACGTAAGAATGAAAAAAAAAATTGGCCTGAATTTTTAAGAAGTTATAACTGGTAAGTAGTAGAGGTTAAGTAATGTTAAGTATGAACATAGAATAATGATCAAATATTAGGGTCGTCACAATTTATGGGGTTAATCTCATTGTTCCCACCAAACTTTGGGGGTCAGTATTTGGGTAGACATTTTGTTTTAAGACATTGATATATTTTCATAGGTAGAAAATTATATTGGACCAGATTAAAGTTGACTTGTTTAAATTAAAATTTATGTTTAAAGAAAACAATTCACTTTAGACAATCATATATGTTCATTTTAATTCTGGAATGGATTATAAAATAAATATTCTTGACTAATATTTTTGATGTACTAAATGTGACGTCCTGATAATGAACTATGAGTGATATTAAAAAAAACGTAGGACCCCTTAAACAACTCGTTATATATTATCAAAACCTCATTTCAATTTATTAATAAAAAGAAAAAAGTAAAAAGTAAAAAATAAAAATAATGGAATCTAGTCATAAGGGCTAACAGAACAAAAATATAAGAAGAAAAGCTTACGGAAAAGAAATGATTAAACAACCGGAATCAGTGATGAATTATAAGTCGCACTCTACTCTTTTCCCGCCTATCAAAGAAGAGCGCTTTCCGGATGACAGGCACGTTGTGTTAATCAATGTTTGATGTTATTGTAAGACCTAACATCAATGTTTTATATTGATTATATATAATCAAACATTGTTTATATGGAATCAATGTTGTATTATATGTATATTAATAAATGTACTTCTAACATATTGATTATGTATTCAAATCAATGTTTGATTTTAGCTAGCGACAGACCTAACGAATATATTTCTATTGACTAAAAATGAGAGGCAATTAATCAGATAATCAGATTGTTCAATTAGAAAATTACATTCTTTGACAAAAAAAAAAAAAAAAAAAAAATTAAACAACCATAAGAAATAAAATGTTTGATGTTACTGCTCGAAGCCTCTAGCTCGGCTTTACTCCAACTAACCTACCCCAAATAAATTATTTTGATTGCTCTTGAACTAGGTTAGAATTATAATTCTATTAAATTAGAATAACTTTTCTTAAATTTATTAGTCCTCATAGGTTTGACCTCGTTCTCTATTAATTTATATTTCAATCTATTCGTATGCTTGTGATTATAATTAAATTTATAGAACACCCACTCCGATTATGTACTAGTTAATACACCATTAGTTAAAGGTAACATTGCTCCAAAATAAAAATATAAAAAAAGGTAAGGTGACAGCGCTTAAAAAAATAGCGAAAATTACACTATACTCCTTAACTTATATCCAAATTATATTAATAAAAATATATTAATCCCCCGCGCAAAATAAATAAAAAGAAGAGCCGTTTTGGCCACTAAAATATGCACAAATATTTTTATTTGTATTATTGCACATAACAGTTGAGTTGTATAAAAAGTTATATAATTATCTAATCACTATAAATGACTTACACGTTAAATCGCTCATCAACTATAAGTTCTTGATTCCTGTTTACATTTACTCATGTTTAGGGTTGAAATCTAACTTGGACATATATAGGAAAATTACGCAAAGTTGAAGACAAAAGGATCAAACTTATGAAAATCTGTCAACATTATTGAAATTCAACGTGACCCAAATATTTCTTCCTATAATTATATAATGGTGGTGGTAATGTAAAACTAAAGGAACCACACAATGTGGAAGCAACGTCATTCAATGCAAAACTCATATATATATATATATATATATATAGCCACGTTATATAAGGAGTACTTACCAAAAATATAGAGAAGAAATTAAGCTAACAGCGGAAGAAGAATAATAAAAACAAAAATGAGACTGGATTGGTGTCTCAATGACTGCAAGAAAATAGTATTTGTGAGTTTGTTCCTGCAGTTATGGTTATCGATGATGAGTATTTGTAGTGCACACGATCCTACTGATGGATTCACTCTTGTTCCGTTAACAGCGCAGGACTTTAGGAATGATAAACCTTACAATGAACCTCTCAAAAATCGCTACAGCTACAAAGATGGAGTCAGAAGGTTCTGGGTCTACAACAACGACAAGCCTTTCAAGCCTTCTAGTACCACCAGACCGCGTTCTGAAGTACGCATCAAGGTAATTCTCTCTCTCTCTCTCTCTCTCTCTCTCTCTCTCTCCGTCCCACCACCGGTGGTTCTACTAGACTCTTCTAACTCACCGATTTTTCTTTTTTTCCTTTTTTTATTTTTGAGAAAATTACAGAATTTACTTTTTAAAGTATATGGATCTAAATTTTTATCCCTCATTGATTAAATACTTTTTTACTAATATAATTATTTAATTAAAAAATTATTAATCAAGAGAAACACCGTGAAAATCCTGACCAGGGTATTTGTCTCTTTCCTTTTTTTTTTTTTTTTTTGGCCTTTCCCTCCCTCCTTCACTCCCACCACCGGTGGTCCTAATAGACTCTTCTAGTAGGCACTAGGCTAGGAGCGTGAAGATACTTATTGATTTTATTTATTTTTTTTTTTTTGCCTCTCCCTCCTTTCTTCACTCCCACTACCGATGATCCTAGTAGACTCTTCTAAGAGACGCTAAATCAGGAGTGTGAAGATTCTATTAATTACTTTTTTAAGAAAAAAGAACAATATATATCCATATTAAAAAAATTCAAAACCAAACTTAATATCCATAATTTCTTTTAGCACAACTTATGCCTTTTTCTATTATTATTATTTTTTTATGTTTTATGACACTTCGTGTTAAAGGGTCATGACTACTCTTCTGGAGTTTGGCAATTCGAAGGCTATGCTTTCGTGCCCAAAGGTACCTCCGGCGTTACCATAGTGCAAATCCACGGCGCACAACAGGGAGCGACGACACTGCAACTAAGGATCTACGACGGCGGCGAGGGCGAGATGAGATACTACAAGTACAATGTAGTGGCTAGTAATCTGTACGACAGGTGGTTCAGAGTGAACATAATCCACAATGTTGATGAAGGCAAGGTAACGGTTTTCGTTGATGCAGTTAAGAAGTTTGTTGTGAATGATCAAGGACCTGGTGACCTCTACTTCAAATTTGGTGTCTATGCTGCCCCAGCTAATTCTAGTAATTACATGGAATCGAGGTGGAAAGATATTAAGATTTTCAAGAAGTGAATGTGAAAATCTTTAAACATTTTCTTTTTTAAGCAAATAAAGTGCTATTATAGTTTTAGCTATATATATTATTAGGTTAGTTCACTATATATTGAAGTACTTCGCTGTACACTCTTTATCTGAGTTATCATTTTGTTACCGTTTTGTTTACTGCATGCAATTTTATGTAATCTTACATTTATATATATATATATATATATATGTATATAATAGGGAGAATGAACAAATAACAGGTTTATAGTAAATACATGAAGTAAATAATAAATTTTGAAACTATTTGAAATAAATAGTAATTAAGTAAAAAAATTTAGATTGGATGGATGTTAATTTTTTACCCTTACTCTTAATGAATACCCACTTAATCAAATACTATATTAGTTAAAAGAGTATTAATCAATAACAAGGAATAAAATTCTGAACCCATACATTTGTAAAGGTAAGTTTTGTAATTCTTTCTGGTTTTTTAAAATTTGCTGCAGCTTGAGTGGTTCATGTTCTAACATTTTTACTTGCGGGTTTTTTAAACATACGACACAATTTTACGAGTCAAATACAAATATTACAAAAAAGTTAGAATATTTACAAATAGCAAAATTTAATATTATTAAAATGACCACAACGTCATTTTATAGTATAAACATTAATATCTTTCAAATAATTACTGTAATTTTTGTTGTTCCTAAAATATTAAAAAAATTGCTATGTTTCAACTCCACTTTCGTAAATTTTCCGAGTAGTGTAATTTTTACTTAGCGCTGCCCTGCCAATTCTAAGAGCCCAATAATACAACTTCTTAACTTGGAATCATATAGAGATAATATTGAAGAAATTGAAAAAAAAAAAAAAAATTAAGACCAAATATTCATTTGAAATAGAGAAACCACAAACAGTGAAAAATTGGATCAATGCACTACTCTTCTTCTTTATTTTTCTTTTTAATAAAAAATGTACTACAATGACATGCAACCTCTCTTAGTTCTTTATTTTTCTAAGTAAAGAATCAACACTATATTGTTAGATAACACCAAGAACAAAATACTTTAAAAAAAAAAAAAAGCCAAACCCTATACAGGAGAGCCCCCCATGAATAAAATGAATGAGATGCTAAACCAAAATTCTATGAAACCATTAGAAAGAAAAAAAAAAAAAAAAAAAAGGAAAAAAATCTAATGGACAATTAAGAGATACATCAAGAAGACCACAAGCCACCACATGGCAGGCAACACACCATTCCAATTTTAATAAAGAACCGCTGCAAAGGGTTGGGAGGTTCATCGTCATCCGATGATGCAGATGTTATCGGTATCTCGGATGGTAAGTGCCGATGGAATGCATCCACTGCAGCCGCAACGCCGTCTTCGTTTTCTATCAACTTCGCTACCTCCAGCACTCGAGATTTAACCTAGGAGAAAGACAATTAGAATCCGATTAGAACAAGAACTTGCCTTCTTGGATTGTTTCGCAGTGGACGATTTCTTGTGTCATGAAAGTAAAACCAATAATGACAAAGTGGCAACACAAAAGTACCAATCATACGTTCTCTGGTTCAAATTAGATTGGAAAATTGCAGAATATAATAATTACCAATCTTCAAGAATAGCTAGAATAAAAACATTACTTGCAAACATATGATCATTTTCATATGACATAGTTAATAAAGAAAATAATTATGCCGGTGCCATATAATTAAACAAGATGATATTCAAATAAGTTTAAAGAAAATTGCACTTCGGAAATACCTCTGGCTGGAGCATATATCTTATAGCATTTGAGAGATTCTCGACGCTGAGTTGAGATATCGGTATAGGTGTGGGTCCCAGTCCTTTTTTATTTATTCTATCACCCCAAAAGAACTGATCCCCAAAGAACGGAACTATGGTTGTTGGACACTGCATTCATAGTCTAGATGTTAAACAAAACCAACGCCTAGAACAGAATCTTACTTTACCATATAGATTAAAACAGAAGATGGGTTGTCTTGGCAAAGATCATTATCCATTAAACTGTTTTCTTAAGACGACAAATATCTTAAACATATCAAAGAAACAAAAATTGAGAAGAATATTACCCCAGCTCTTAGTCCTGTAGCCGTAGTTCCGGCACCACCATGATGGACCTGCAAATTTGTTACAGTAAGGCTTTGCAATTTCAGTACACAGAAGACCCATATAGTTACAACTGCGAAGTACATTAACACATTCTGCTCCACTCAAAGTTCTAACCTTAATCAGCCCGTTTGGAAGGTATCAAATCATGATTTGGGTTCATTGGCAGAAACTTTGTGAGAGAGGAAATTAATTTAAACTCTTTGTGAGAAAAAAAACATTGTAGCAGAATCATGATTTGGGTTTGAGATACCTTCCAAACAAGCCATAAGCAATTTAACTAGAGTTTCAAAGATTATAAGGATTTAGAATGACCAGTTCGCAAGTAGTATCATTTCTCTTAAAAAAGAACGAAAATGGAAGTGTATACTGGCAAGCAATTTAAGTTCCATTTTGATATGTTGCCTGACACCTAAAAGTTCTCTTCCCACAAAAAACACGAAAAATAGGACTTACCACAGCTGAACATTGAGGAAACAGCCAATCATGAGGGCAATCCTCCAGAAGGAAAACATCTACCGGGACTTGCATTACTGTACGGCACAAAGCAAATTATAAATGAATGAGAATCAGACTTTCTATTTACTATATAAACAGCTAAATATCTGACTAGGTTTTTTCCTTTGTTTTTCTTTTTCTTTTTCTTTTCCTTCCTGAAATGCCTAGCTTCTTTCTCTTTCCTTTTTTTGTTTCCCTTACTGTTTGGAGTTGGAGGGAGCATTAAATTCATTAAGATAAACTATATTCTAAATAATGTCATCTATAATTTTGTCACATTGTCAATCATAAGAAGTACTAAGATCTCCTTTTAGATTTCATTCTCACAATGATCCAAGAGAAACTTAAAAATTTATCTTTTTAATCAAAAGTTCAAAACCATAAGATTATCTGTCATACTAAGCATTTTCTCTTTCTAAATATAAGCTTTGCAGGCATGAGTTGGTGGTTCTCACAACATCCCCAACAACTAGTTTGTTAAAGGCCATGCAGAGAAGCAGGCCGTCTCCATCAATTTTGATAAAGATTTGTAGAAACAAGGACAGGAAACTTCTATAAGCAGTTCAACTTGAAAAAGTGTGTGCAGATGGCAAACAAAATTAGATCAAAAGATGACACTTACAAGTTCCGAGGTCCCCCCAACCACGGTCAATTATTCCTCGTTGTTCTGTGTCCTTCAGTGCCTCCAGAATAATACGCGTGGTTTTCTGGGGATCTTCTAGGGGCTTAATGATCAACAGATGATTAGTTAGAGCCTTTCAAAAGTTGGAAAAGAAAGACGAATTTATCCACCAACAATTCAAATCATGTGAAAAAAAGGGAGAAAAGGAGGGGCCAAATCAAGATATCAAGACTCTTACTCATCATGAACGAATGCATCAGACGCTTATGCATAGTAAATAGGCTCCCTTTGTATTTTTTGCTAAATAAATTCTACATATGTGTCAGGTGAAAGGTGGAATCTTTCTAGTCTTTTCGTCTTCAAAATATTAATTGTGCATGGTTAATTCCTAAGAAATCGTCATTAAATCCCGAATAAACTTGCCAAACCCTCTGTGATAGCAACACTTTTAAGGTCCATTACTCCGTTGGAACAGAATGGTATAAAGTCAGATTCTATACTATACAGTTGTGACCAGCACATTGAAGAACCATAAAAATGATTGCTATAGAAGATCAAAATGTTAGAATAGGAAAAGAAATGTTGACCCGCCACCTTAAAGCCTAAGCTTTTGGGAGAATTTGAACTAGCAAAAAAAAAAAAGTTTTAAAAAAATCTATATTAATTCACCATTTAATTATCAAAAGAAAACGCCTATTTTTGGTTGAACAAAAATTAAAACTGTTCAACAAGATATATATGCATGGCCTAGTTAGATCAGCGTACCATACTTCCAAACCCAATATATACGGGTTTGGGCCCTTTTTGAATCCACTGAACAAACTTCTCTTGTGGTTGATACTTTGACCCAAGGTTTAGAAAACAATACCCAACAACATCAACCAAAGGTCCCCAATCTGCAAATTTTTTTTAGCATGAAGTCAAAATGTCTTTCTAAGAAGACCAACACAATACATGAACTCATGTTCCAAAAGATTTATGAAATATAATTAAGAACATGAATCTAAAATAATACACACGGCAATAATTCAGTTCATTCTACAAAGATCAGGTAATAGAGTGCCTAAGACCTCTTGGTCTAGTTGCACTGGGGGGTTTTGGGTGAGGGACTGCAGGTTCAAGCCCATCTTGTATTAAAGATCAGGTAATAGAGTAGAGCGAAATCAAAGGAGATGACATGACTAAAATCACCGTAAAGCAACAACTGATGGGTAATTATCTCAAATATAAAACAAAAGGCCTTACCAGAGGGCTTTGGCACGACATGAGGACTCCACATATAGCCTGTTGGGAGATGAGATATTGATCCGTGGTACGTACTGAAATATGCAATGGGAGCGCTCTTCAACTTTCTCTTTCTGAAGTCATTAATATATCCCCTGATGCCCCACCATATCAATAAATCCACAACGATATATGAAAGCTGGATCCAGCAAAGACAATTTTGAGAAAAGAAAACATTGCAATTGTCAACTCAGTTGCAATGTTTTATTCACAATGACACCAATATTAAGTCAAAAGAGTGACGTCAAGCGAGAACATACCCAGTAGCCAGCAATCTGAGAAACACGTGCCAGTGGATGGGGAAATTCATATGTCGGCCTGCCTATTGAGAACCGATATGAGATTGCATATTCCAAAATCAAAGACCGAAAATAAAGAAAAGCAACCAAAAGCAACCAGCATTCACAAACATCAACAACGACATGCTTCTAGAAGTTTCAGTATTTAGCTTGGTTTTTTCCTTCTATTTCATGTTTGTCTCAAAATGTTAAAGCATCAATGTATCAAGAATCACCATGACATCCATCATATATTCACATTACCTCATTCCAAAACATTTACCCTTCTGCAGTGTTCTGAGCATCGTTACTCATGGTACACATTTATTTTTATTTAAGACAAAAAAATATTGCCATAAACGATAGGTGCATGTGAATAAGTCCAAAAGTAATAAAAGCTAAAGAGAGCTTTTCGCAGATCATACGTCCATGGCATTGTGAAGAAAATGTGAAGAGGTACACCAAGGGCTTCAGCAACATGTGCATGTCCTGCAACCCAAAGTAAATAATATTTTTGTTCAACTAAACCCAATAAAATAAAATAAAATAAAATAAGAGTTACTGAAAACTTAATAAATAGTTACCATCTGCCACCCAAATCTAAAAATCACTTGAGACGGGTACATAAAAAAATAATAAAATTATAGTGCCGTAAGATATTCAGCTTCCAGATACTCACCATAAGCAGGAGGGTTTGCAATAATTGCCTGTGCTTTAAAGGGAACCCCGGTTTCCAAATCTGGTTCTGTGCATGCCGGAAGAAGCGATTCGATGATGGCCCTCAACTGCTTCCTTTGTAGTGATATTTCTTTTGGTCCAGATGGGATGAGACCTTTGTTTCTAGCCATATCTAAAAGTAATAAAATAATCCATGTCATAAACTTATAGTAAAACAATCACAAGATGAGTTCGACGTGATAGCAATACTCGAGTTTCTCCAATGATCAGGAGAACGGATAAGAAGAAGAGTGGCAACAGAGAGAGAGAGAGCATAACCACCAATAAAATGATGTTAATGCATTCCTATAATTTAATGGAATTCAGAAGGCGACAAGAGAGAGAGAGAGAGAGAGAAAGCATAACCACCAATAAAATGATGTTAATGCATTCCTATAATTTAATGGAATTCAGAAGGCGACAAAAGTTTAACTCATGACGACAAAGGTTCACAGAATGTGATCTTATAACGACATTTGAAGTTTGAAGCAACCAATACAAAATTTATTTGCAATACATGACCAGGAGAGAAGGAAAAACCAGAAAACAAAAACATAATAATAATGATAATAAATAAAAAAAGTGTCAAATTAGGGATCTCTTACATCCTGCCAAAACCCGAGGATCACCACCCAAAGGATAGAAGTCTACTCCGGCTGATTTTACAAAAGTGCTGAAGTTTGAGTGAGTGGCCAACCTAACATGATGACCGAATTCCTGCTAGTTAACATTGAAACAAATGTTAATGAAAAGTCAATTACCACAAACAATAATGACTAATACATTATTCTTTTGAATTAAGAACAAATAATACTTCAGAATTTTAGTACTTCCAGCAAGGAGGCACAATCTAGTTAACAACACAGAAAAAGCAAACTATCATATTCCAGATTAGCAAAGATTGTAGCCAAAATTTCAGAATAGTAGTAATTAAGATTCAAAGCACTTGTATTACCAGTAAAGGAACATCTAAGTATGATAACATCAACACTATCCGTAGATGTACCCAATTGACTAAATATAAGAAGAAAAACTAAGAATAACAATCCCTTCCATTCGACCAACAGATGTTTGTTATGTGTTTTTATGTCTGTATGAGTCACCATTCAACATATACCGTAGCTTAGTTTGAGTGGCATTAAGTATTAATGCATCATATATAGATCTTCTTAGAAATTTGGTACATTTTTTCCAATAAGAATGATAACCAGATATCACATACCTGAAGCCGCTTTGCCATAGCCAAGAAAGGTTGAACATCTCCTCTCGTACCAACTACAAGCATGACAATTTTCAACCTTGGAATTGATTTACCGGCTTTGGAATTCGTACCAGCAATAAAGATAGGTGCCCCTTCAATGCTCTGAAGCTCTAACAACTCACAAGCAACTGGTCCATGTTTTTCTAAATCGACTTCTACAGTTCCATCATTTTGTATCTTGACTAGATCAACAATAAGTTGTTGCTGAGGACCAATCGGAGTGGTAATTAGCATTTCAGAAAAAAAGATAAATAATAACACGCGCGCACACAAAAAACAAAGGTTAACTTCGAGAAAAAGTTAGGAGAATAATAAGACTGTGACCATATAAATAAAACATTGGATTGACTGGCTCCTCAAGATACCTTTAAAAAGTATAATGTGCAAGAACAAAGATGACCCTCCATTATCTGTCATAATTCTATTAACAACATCTAAATAATTATATTGAATGACCAGAAAGATATACAAAAATTATGCTCAAGTAATCATCTAGCTAGTCTTGTTTGAAAACCAGACAACAACAGTAGTATATAATGCTCACTAAAAAGGAAATTGCACACTCTATATACAAACTAGAAGATTTCATGTCAATAAACAACATGTGGCTTCATAAATAAGACCATCACAAATGAGCACATTTCTAGTGCGTGTTACTTAACAACTCTAATCTACATAGTACATACGAAAATGTTACAAGCAGATAAGCGTATGAAAACTAGGGAACGTTTGTCTAGGTGTCACATGCCGTTGAAAGAAAAAAACAAAAATATAACATACAAAAACGTACAACGAATGCAAATGGTTTTGAAATCTACCTTTTCACGCTCTGACAATCTATCTAGCTTCTCCGTCATGGATCGAGAGAATGTAATCCCATGATCATCATTTATTAAACATTTATGGGTTCCAACAGGTGCAGTGACGCAATGATCCAAGCCTTTAAGAAGAAATGATTCCAACATCAGTCAAAAGAGCCAATAAGCTTCATAATACAAATAATATAAAAGCATTCAGCCAATACAATCCCATCATTACAATAAACATAAAAAGCATTCAGTATCAACAAATATATCTTCGTTCACTGGCATGTAGAGCATGAAGTTCAATTGATACCATCAAAGTAAGAGAGAAGAAAACCACCCACCTAGCACATAATGCAAGACTAAACCAAATTGGCACTGCAATTTCGAACTCTAGTATTTGGGAAGGCGTGGAAACTGCTTATACATCAAAACTATATACGATAACTCTTTTACTGATACATTCATACACATAGCAGCACACTTTTTAAAGATATGAGGGCACAGTAAGCAATGATATGAATATGATCAGGATTTAAGAACTCCTAATTAGTGGCTCTTCCCATTTTCAAATTAAAATCTACCTTTACAAGAAGTCCAAAAACTGTTGTAACTAGGTATTGAGGCAGCTCCAACTTAGTATCTTGGTATAATTTCAGAAGGCTGAAATACAACTGTTCACAGAGCAATATTTTTATATTGTTTACCAATGAGCTAGGATGTTTTTCAGAATCCTACTATACCTTGATATCCACAAGCAGATTCATACATAAGCTACCATCTATTTCCAATATACAACGAAATATTCAAGGAGAAAAATCCAATATAATATCGCAAATTTTTTCAAAAAAAAAAAGGCAAAAAATAGGGCAACAAATAGGTTAAAACATCAAAGATTTATACAACAGTAAAGAGTTCTGTTACACCTAAAGAGTTGACGTATATTACGCAAAAGTGTATCACATACTTGAAAAGTTTCCCTATGCATAAATATAGAAAATACGTCTATTGTATAAATGAGCATCCCAGTCCTGTTAAGCTCAGATCATTTGGCTATTGAACAACAAACTTTTTTTTTTCACTTCTAAGCTTAATTTTCAAGTCCCCTTCTGCAAAACAAAAAATTCAAGAACCGAGATTGGCCGGCGGCAGGCCTAACCTCTCCGAGGCGAAGAGCTGTTGTTGAACTCCTTTGACAGAGCCATTAGGACTGACGAGCGCTTCTCCTCCGATTTCGTCTTCCGATTTTCCGCATCAGATTGTTCATTTCCAGAGTTATTATCACCACCACCACCACCACTCTGCTGGTCAAAATGATTAACACTTTCTTCCAAATGCTTCATAGGATGATGATCCAAATGCTTCATAGGATGATGATCATCCCCATTACTCCCCATTTCACCAAAACACAAAACAAAAAACAATTGAAACCCACAAAAGACTATTACAGCTTCAAGAGCCTTTTCATTAATGTCTCAACATTTCTCTACTTCCTAATACTGCAAAAAAATCCTTAATCAATTGTGATTGAACACAAATGGCAAGTAAAATCCTCCCACAAGACCCCAGAAGTTTAAAACCCTTATCCCCAAAACCTCGAAAATCTGAGGAGATTAGGAAAGAACATAAAGGCCAAAAGCCAACTAACACCTAAAACACAACAGACCCAGGTGCTGAAAAACCTTGTACAGAAAAACCCAGCTTCGAAATTATCGAAAAATTGCACAGAAAAAACAGGGTCGCAAAAGCCGAGTATGATTAAGCCCCTTTTTTCCTTCTCTTTTTTCTTTTTTTTTTTTTTCCTCAAACTGGACCAAACAGTGTCCCCACCAGTTAGTCAAACCACGCAGAAGAAGAACGTTTGATGGGTCAACAAGACACGATGAAAACTACAAGAAAAAAAAAAAATATGGATTCTGAAATCGTGTTTTCAATTAGAAGAATATCCCCAGCAAGTAGAATAGTTCAGTGGTTGGCACTGTTACAATTGGACACTGAACGGCAACTTGGGAAGCTTCACGCTGGTTGGAGTCGAAGAGGCATTCCCCAACACACCAAACGACACGTAGCTCTTTTTTTCGATTATTTGTATAATTATCCTCTAAATTATGTACCTTAATTTAAAATGTTCTTAATAATTTTAAATCATTTAGAGCCCGTTTAAAAAAATTTATTCTCTGATTTGAATCATGATTCATAATTTATTATAATATTTTTTCTCATAAAAAATATACATAAATTAAAAATAATTTTAATCTCATTATTTTAATCCATAAACTAAACGAACTCTTAAAATATCTCTCAACAAAAAACATATCAAAACACCACTCTCTCCATATTTATAAATCTAACCGGAATACTGACGTGTCATTATTATTTTACATTGACTGATATATTAAATTCTAATTAACTTTATTAAAATGATTTAAGTATTAAAAAATAATAAAGAATAGTAAAAAAATATTAAAGAAGAAAAAAAAAGCTTGATATACTAAAATTAATAGAAAAAAAATAAAAAACCTGAAAACAAGGTCGTCTCCTTCCTCTTGGTTTTAGTTGCAGACCCAAAAATAACCCACACCCCCTAATCAGTTTTCATGGCCAAACATGTAAGCCCTGCCCATCCCCACTGGAGATCTTGCCAACTATCCCCATCCCCTACTGTGACCCACTGCACCTAAGCGAACCCAGTTAGGAATGTTAATTTGTGTCACGTATTGTGTTCATGTCGTATTTTGATCGTTTCTTTTTAAATTTACAGTCAACCTGAATATGACCCGTGATACGAAATTTTTTAAAAACTGCAACACGAACACGACACGATCACTTTACAGGTTGACACAACACGACACGAAAATAACCCGTGACACGAAATTGACACATAAATTAGAAATTGACACGAAAATTATATATATATATATTTTAGTTTTTTATATATTAAAAATAACTTAAAATTCATAATACACTAAAATACAATAACATCCATCAAAATTAAGCAAATAATAATATATAATTTTGAATATAACTATTATAATATCACAAGTTCATAATAAAATCTAAAATATTTAATGAAATATATATATATATATTAGTTTTTTATGAGTTTCGTGACGTGTTCGGGTTTAGTGGTCCAACCTGAAATTGATTCGTGTTTTTCATGTCAATTTCAGATCGACCTAATTCTGACCCGAATATCTTTTTTCTCAATCCTAACCCGTGAAATTCGTGTCATTTTTTAATTATGTTATTGTGTCGTGACTCATGTTACTGGCCCTAAACCCAGCCAAGTCTCATCCTAATCACGTCGCCCACCTTGCAAACCCCAGCCTAATCGCGCCGCCGACCTCGCTAACCCAGCCATTCCAATCGCGCCGCCCACCTTGCGAACCCAATCAAGCCACCTCCCAATCGTGCCGGACCTCCAACCTTGGCTGTTGTGAAATGTGAATGAGAGTTGGATTTTTTCAGTTTACCAAATAGAGGAGAAGAGGGGTTGAGAGAAAAATGGTGGTTTAAATTTTTGGTATTTACTTTCTTTCAGTAAACAGAGAAGAAGAAGAAGAAGATGGAAGACGGGGGGAGAATGAACTGGGAAGATTGGTTTTACGTTTGTTTTGTTTAATCAGTTTGATCCATTTTTATTTTTGTTTTGGGTGTTTTTTCATTAGTCTTTGGAATTTTGAATTTTATTTGATTGTTGTGTCATTTTATATTAAGTAATTGATTTTTTATTAATAAATAATATTTATATTTTAAATACTTTTTATAAACTTTATTTAATTACTTGTCACGTTAGAAATCCGTTAAAATTATAAACAGAAGAAGTATTTTGAACTATTTTCAATAAATCAGAGCTATTTTAAATGATTTAAAAAAATTAGAAGGTATTTTAAAACGGAGTACATATTTCAGGGAATATTTATAAAAATTAACCTTTTTTTCTTTTTATTTTGTGTGACTTTAATTAGAGTTTAGCCCTTGATTTAAAAAGAAAAAAGAAAAGAAAAACATGAACTAGTCATCCTTGAAGAAATAAGGTGACATTTGAGCTAAAAATGAAAAAAAAAAAAATTCCTCTGATGTTATTTCTTTTAATGGAACAGAAACACCAGGGTTTTTTATTTATCAGTCGTCAAATTTATATTACTTTTCAATTTAATTTGATTTCTGATCACATTTAATACAGATTCGACGGTTAATAAATAAAGAACACTAGTGTTCTAAAAAAACACCAGAGAAAGTCAAAAAAAAAAAAAAAAAACCTTGAACATCCTTGAATAAAAGTCCTTTAACATTCTTTTTCTCTCTAAAATACCCTGAGTTGACATATTCCTTGTTAATTTCTCTTTAATTATGTAATGTAATGATCATATGGGTACTCATTAAATTAAACAATGCATTCAACAACTCTATACAGATTGACAGGATTAAGCAGGACTGCTCGTCAAGAGATCAAGTTACCATGACATGTAGAAAAAGGAGAAAAAGGTTTCCAGTACTCCTATTGTTTTGGTTCGCTATGATATTCTAATTAGGTTTTCTGTTCTGGTTAATTATATATATGTATTGTTTTCCTAATGTTCGTTTTTTTTTTTCGTTTTTTAATTACCACTTTTCATATTGTTAGAATGAAAATGCCAGACTTGATGACCAAATTAATAGCATTCCAGATGATGTTTTCGGTTCCATTCAATTACATTTAAACATGAGAGGGGCAGTGAGGACTAGCATTCTCATAAAAAGATGGAGACACTTGTGGAAATCCTCGTTGAGAAAAGCTTGAATTTGATGATACAAATTGGTTTATGAGCCGATCCGATATGCCGCGACTTGAACAGAATGTTTCCTTTGTGAGATGGGTGAATCAAATTTGAGCAGTTCATTTGGGTACCATAGACTCCTTCAAGTTGAAACGTCGGATCCGTTTAGTTCGCTGATTCGAGTTGATATGTGATTTTATGTAAGAGTTTTTTATTGGTAGCAAAAAAGTTAAATGTGACTGTATCTGAGAGTTTTTTACTGTAGCAAAACTCAAATTATAAACTTGAATTGGTGAAATGAATGGGACTGTTATTTACCACTAAAATACAGTCATGAATTTGAGAGGTGGATTAAACTTGCTGGGGCGGGGATAAGAATGTTCAAAGAGCTTTACATATGCTTTTCTAAAAGATATGAGAGTCTAGGCCGGAAAAATTGGATGGTTGATTCATTTCCTTACTGGGTATTTGCTGTTTGATCACGGTAAATTCGAGCTTAAGGCACTTATCTTTGAGCGCTTGTATAAGTTAAGTCTCCATTCAAAGTTTAGAGGCTCTTTTCCTTTGGTCCTAAGAGATACTCGTGTGACAAAAGAAAATCTTATGAACATCTTGTCCGTTTGTTCATCCCTTGAATGGCTTAGTATGATTGACTGCTATATACCAAGATGGTTAAAGTTTACAAGTGGATCATGTCCGTGTCAAGTTGAAACACTTGAACATATCTTCTTGTGGGATTTTGGAGGAGATTGATATTTGTGACATTGTAAAAAGTCTTGTATCATTTGAGTATCAGGGAAATAGATTACGATAATTTCTGTGCACAAAAAGTTCATCAGTTAAAAGACTTCGGCCTTGTTCGCTTCATAAATTTGAGTTTTTAATTTGAGTTGAGATGTTACATTTTTTGAGAGTTTTTAACTGTAACAGAAAAAGTTAAATGTGATATTTTTTTAGAATTTTAACTGTAGCAACTTAAAACTAAAAACTCGAATGAACGAGGCTTAAATTTTTCTTCCGATAGGAATCCTGGTGAGAATTATGACCTCAGCAATATTGCAAGTGATTTTTCACAACTTGAGATCTTATTTTTGAGCTACTCACCTGGTATTCAGGTAACTAATTTTCAAAGAAATAATATTGAATATTTTTTAATTATTTGTATTATTAGTACCATCAATCCCTAAATTATCATACTTTGTTTATTGCGCAGCTGGTTTACATGGACAGCTATTTTTTAGAGTTTTGTTATAGTAAAAAGTTTTAAAAAACAGTCACAATTAACTTTTTTATTACAGTTTAAAGCTCCCACATAAAGTCACATATCAATTTAAATTAAAAACTTGAATAATCGAACTAAACGGCCCTTAGAATTAAAAACTCGAATCGAGTTTTCTTGCAGCCGGCCTCGTTCATTTCACCGATTCGAGTTTAGAATTTGAGTTTTACTATAGTAAAAAGCTCTCAAAAATAGTCACATCTAACTTTTTTATTACAATAAAAAACTCTCACATAAAATTATATCTCAACTCAAATTAAAAATTCGAATCAGTTAACTAAACGGGACAGCTATTAGGATTTTAATTAGACGCTAAAAGAGGACAAGAGGAAACCAAACAACCCAAAATATGGACAGCTGTACAAGTTTTTAGTGATGAAGGCTGAAGCACAAAATCTTTAAAAGACAAACATGCCCTTGGTTGAAGTACAAAAGAAAACAACAAGCATACCCCTTCTATAATACTAAGAATATTAAGAGTCCGTTTAGTTGGAGGATTCGTTCTCTGATTCGAATCATGGTTCATGGTTCGCTACAGTATTTTCTCTCACAAAAAACACACATAAATCGAAAATGATTCTAATCTTATGGTTTTAATCCATAAACCAAACGGGTTCTTATAGATTATAGAACTTTGAGTGAGGGGTTTGTGCGGGATGGTGGGACGGCAGAGGGTGCCAATTTAATTGAGATATGTTGTCCTGTATAATACTAGTTATATCTTTTCTTTATTAAAAAAAATTACTGAAAAAAAGTATACATGCATTACGAAAGAATATATAACTGTATATCCAGAAAATATTTATATATATTTACATATATAGTAACTGTATATAATCATAGTATTTGCTAAAACCTGATCACTTTCACTAAAAAAACACCTGAAAATGATAGAATTAATCCTAGCTATAGTTCTTCTGCACATGCTGTACTAGAGAACATTTCCTTAATTACCAAAGCTCTAGCCCTATTAATAGTCACAAGGCTCAGAATAACATGCTCTTCTAACTCCTCCATTTGCTTTCTGAACCCAAAATCACCCTTCTTAAGCTCCTTCACCGCCTGCAAACAAAACCTGTACTCTCTCCTCACCAAGCAGGATTGTATCATCTTCTTGTTGTGATCAAATGTGCCGCCCAGACGCGCCACAAGCCTGCTCATCGTGTCGAAATCTCTGTTCAGAATATAAGTTCCCTTAGCTGCTAAGTCCAGCTGATTCCCCACTTTTCTGAGAAATCCACTTCTCAGAAATGAGAAATTAGAGAGTTTGTTCACCAAGCGTTTCAATGGAAAGCCGAAAAGCGCAGGTCCCATGAAAAGGGCGGTGAGAGTATGTGCTGCTAAAACAATGGCTGCTAGAGCTACTAGGCCACAAGCCGCTGTAATGCAAATCCCAGAAGCCTTTTGTAACCCTTTGATGAGTTTTATCTTCTTTCTCACCTTCTTCCTCATTGATTTAAGGCACTGAAACACTGCAGAGTACTTTTCGCGTATCATCTTGAAATCGTGGTCGTTTGGATTCAAAAAAGGGTTTGTCCCGATGAACAAGTTTAGCTCAGAGATGATCAGCTTGAAATTCTCAGGAGAACACTCCTGATCACGACTTATATCATCGATGCCGTCGAGCAGCCGTTGGATGAAGTGATGATTGGATTGTATTTGGTTGATGCTTCTGAGAAGGTGGCTGCAAATTGTTGAGGCCTCGGCGCTGATGTCAAAGTACTTGAGCATAAGAGTTTTGAGCTCCGGTAGTTTGGAAAGAATTAGAGCTGATTCTAGTATGCCGGGTATCGCTTCTTGGCCCGGTTCAAGTAGGGTTTCCGAGAACTTCCGATGGCAATAAGACGGAGAAGATTGCTCATGGTTTACTAGTAATTGAGCTTTGTTGAAGAAGTCGGCGTAGGATTTGGTTCTTAATGCACTCACATATTCCTCATTTATGTTTAGGCTTTTGCGAACTTCCCTCAATTCCTTCTCAACTGGTGTTAATTTGGAGGTAAATCTACCATGAGTATATATGTTAAGACATTAAGAAAAAAAAATATAAAAAAAAAAACGAAAGAGAGCAGTACATGACCTGAATACATCAATAATCCTTAATTCTTGAAAAGAAAAAAGAAGAAAGGAAAATATACCCTTGAGAGAAGAAAGCATCAAATATGATATGAAAAAACAAACTAAATAAAACCAAAAATAATAACTATTAACTAATTATAGCATCTTACGTTGTTTTCTGTTATGAAAAATATACTTGTTTACTTTAGTAACATAAGGCACGGATTTAATTATCTTTATACTATCAAAAGACATGTATAGTGATCTTGGAATTTCTTTTTCATTTTATTTTTGGTATATTATGATCTTGGATGTTACAACATGATCACATGTACACATTTAAATAGCATACCTCGTTTGATCTTTAGAGCTCTTATCCTTGCCCACATATTGGGTACAATATAGCGTAAAATTAAACGAGAGACAATTGATGGATATCAGACTAGCTAAAAGAGGAAGAGAGAGCTCTAAAAATGACAACCACTTCGAACTGAGAGACTTTGATAGGAAGTTGACAAAGCTCAGGTTAATTTTCTGAATACAAGCACACACTGTATGATATATATATATATATATATCTATATATATGTATATATATATATATAATGAAGGGCTTTGATGATTACTTTAACTTCCATTCTCATCAATATATATATATATATATATATATATAGAGAGAGAGAGAGAGAGAGTTACTTCTGCAAGTTGTTTGCAAGATTCATCAAGGCTAAATTTGCTGAAGAAGCCCCTCATGATGCCCTTTTGCTATTTGTATTTTTTAGACTTCCTTTCCTTCTTATCCTTTTCGTATTTTGTCTTCACTTAAGTTGTACAGTCTTGTAAGCATTCCATTTAAAGCCTAAAGGAACACGCCAGCAATATTGATTTTTCTGAAACATTATATGGGCAACAGGATCTCCTTTCCTTCGAAAAAGAATAATTATCTTTTGTTTTAGGATTTTGATTTTTTTAAATGTTTAAATAAATACTTTTCAGAAATTATTTTAGGTTAGTTTTGGCCGTTAGCCTTTTTTTTTTTTTTTTTTTTTTCAAAAAATGCATGATTGATGAAACTGAAATACATTTCTTATTATTCTTATATCTAAAGGACATCGTTTTAGTTTTGAAAAAGAAAGAGAATTAGAAGGTCTATTTTTTCAAAACCCCTAATAATATCCCTATTTTAAATTAGGAGGAAAAAAAAAAGGGATGTTTCTCACTCATATGGTTGCAAATTGCACACCAATCCCAAATGTGGTAGATGATTATTTTTCGGCTTTGATATAATCAATGGTTAAGTGGCAACATAATTATTTTGATTACTAAAAGCACTTTTTTTTTTTATTCGTTTAGTGACTTCTTCCAATAATCTATTTACAAGTTCTAAGCGACGGACAGAAAGAATTAACTTATAATAACTGCCAATTCCTTCAGCAATCTATCATTTTGATATTTATTTTGCGAATTTTGTATATCCTACAAAAAAAAATCTAATTCTAATAATAATAACGATTATCAGTAATAGTTATAATAATGATAACAGTAATAATTTTTATCAATATATAATTATAATAACAATCATATGATATTGGCATACATAAAAATGCTACCAAGTTTATTTTCATCATTCACGCTGCCTCCGAGTTTGCATTTGTTAGATTCGCATTATTTCGCGTTATTTCACGTTCCCTACTTAATTATTATGGAATTTCCCTTATAGGGAGTTTCTTTTTTTATTTCCCCAATCAAAAAGCGATCGTATTCAAAGTGGTCGGAGGGTAAATTGGTCACCACGGAGGTGGGAAAACATACACTTAATTGCGTAAATAAATTTTATAATAAAAAAACTAATGATAGTTTTTTTTCTTATTTTTTTCATAGATTTACTGCTTGTGAATCTTTGGACGATTTGAGAATCAATTTCAGACTTTAAAGTGATGATTAATGCAATGAGTACTTGTAGGATAGAGATATCTACAAGCTTGTGTAGTTATTTCGAGTTTTTTTGTTCATAATAAAGTTTGATGAGCTAAGGATTGTCACAAGAATATAAGAAATCGGTTTGTTGGGATAATTTATTAGTGCTCGAGAGAGATTAGCAAATAGGTTAGAGAGACTCGACTATCAATAATGAGAATAGGCTTAATTAGTTCATTTAGGAATTTCATTTCTAATTAGTATGGTTAATTAACTCTTTAAAACGTTATTTCTTTATTGCTTGTTTATTTTAAATTCTTTTTCTTATTTAATTTTATCTTTTACCAATCGTTTAAATAATTTATAAAGTTAATCATTTTAATTCTTAATCTAAATTAACACAATCATCTCATGATGATCGAAACACTACTCACACGGCGAGTTATCATATGATTGAATTAGAGGCCACTAGAAAACGCTAAAAGTGAAATGACTGAATTCTGTAATATAGGTTCAAGATTCTTTATGAGTTAACAATTGTGGGGCACGTACGTACTTGCTCGTGAACCCATGTTGATATAGTATATTATTTCTTCCAGTAATTACGGGTGCGTTTAAAATTAATTTTAAAATAATTTTATTTTTTTATGAAATTAAAAATAAAAATATTTTTAATTTTAAACAAAAATTATTTTTAAAAATATATTTAATAATTTTATTAAGAGATTATTTTCAGTTTAAAAAAAAATTAAAACCCAATTTGGTCATATATTTTTTCGTTTTCAGATTATTTTCACGGACATAATATAAATGAATAAGCATTGTGTTGCAGAAGCATTTATTTCCCTTCCCAGTTTCTATCTTCTAATTCTAAGAACCCAAAAAAAAAAAAAAAAAAAAAAAAACTGGTTTTTGCTAATTTTCTTGGCCTTCGTATGTCCTCCACGATCAAATCCTTAATCTAATGAATTTGTTTTGGCATTTTTTTGTGGCATTTTGATTTGGATATGAACAAGACAAGAATATGGCTGACCCCTCCAAGAGATCAAGCTCCTTCCCACATCATCAGATCGAGCCCCCTCCCCATCGCAACATTGAGCCGCCTCCGCCGTCGCAAGATTGAATCATCCTTTCGCCGCCCAACGCGCACCCTTCGCCACCAGATCCAGCCCCCTTCTCATCATTCTTAATCTGGGTTTCGAGCATCTTTCAAATTTGTTTGAAGCATTTCGTTGCGAGAACCCATTGTAAATCCAAAAATTTCATGAAACTCCATCGCACCCATAACTGCGCGACCAACCCTCCATCACGCCGGCGAGAACGCCGCCCTTGTTTGAAGCATTTCGTCGGAGTTGGAATCGAAGACGACGTCGAAAAGCTTGAGCACTGAAGATCCCTCCCAGCTGCCGGCAAACCTTCCTCAGTCGAGCCACCCATCCTCGCCATCTTCGCCATGTGAAGCCCATCCCCACCCGAGGGGGCAATCCCGGGCGCATCTGGAGGAAGCCGCCGGTGGCGGCACCCGTGATGATCGAGTTCCAAGATCTTCCTTTTGGCGGACGTAGACCATGGTGCGGCGAGGAACAACAAGGAAAGAAGAAAAATAGAGTAGAAGAAAATGGAAAACGAGAAAATAAAAACGAGTATAAACCGTTTTCAGAAATGTAAACAAAACATGAAAATGGTCATAAACGTATTCAGTTTCAATTTTTAAGAAAATACAACCCAAACGCGTTTTTGACATTATTTTCAGTTTTTGTTTCTTGAAAAATATGAAAAACATTTTTGAGATTAAAACCAAACGTGTTCTACGTTTTTCTCTTTTCCAAAATTCTTTTTTGTTTATTATCACTTGTTATCCAAATTAATTTTATTTCAACATAAAAAAAAAACTTCAAAAAGAGCACAAAGTCAAAATCAAATATGTGTAGCTAGCATGATATGTATTGAAATAATATCACCATTTCCTAAATAGACTTTGAACGTAATGGCATTAAAAAATTTTAATTTAACCTTATGGCAAAATGTAAAAATTTTCACTATCATGTCAAAATCGTACAGCCAAGAAAGATGTTGGTAGAACTTGCAACCTTGTACAGAACCTATGTAAGGCCTCAAGGGAATAAGCAAGCCACGTGAAACCTTTTAGGTCACTTAGAAAACCATTAGGGTTTAAACATTCATTTTTTACTACAAGGATAAAATAATCAAAACGAACACGAGTTTTGAGTTTTAGTTCACGGTTTTAAAGGACAGTATGTTGCCCATGTTGCCCATAGTAAATATCTTAGTGGTTGTTTGGTTCATGTATTCAGAACCATTTTCGTTTTACGTGTGTTTTTTACGAGAAAAAAACACTGTAGAGAACCATGAATCATGATTTAGAATCAAGAATGAATATAAAAAATAAACATCTCATTAGTTTCATGTCATTAAAATGGTCAAATCTCGCTAGCGGTAAAATAATAATTTTATCTGAATGTAAGACCGTCAAAAGAAACCGGATACTCCAATTCCAACCCGAACAATTCAAAGGAACCAGGGATAGCACCTTATTAGAAGGACCAAATGGGCTGAGGGCTCGAGTGAGACATAAGATAAGCTTTAGGATTACTCAGAATAACGTAATAGGTGATGTAAGGTCCAAGATCCATATTTAAGGCCCATACACTAAATTATGGAACTCGTAACTAAATAGAATACATGGATTTAAATTAAGGTTTAGCTTAATTAAGATTAGAAATTAATTTAGGGATTAATTAATTAACTACTTATTTAATTAAATTAATTACGTTTAAAAATTAAATAATCAGCAACATTAACTAATTAAGTCCTGTAATTAATTAATTAATTTGTTTTCATGAAATATCAAGAATTTTATAATAGGATGATTAATTAAACTAATTAGTGTTTGAGTTGTCCTTAAGGCCCAACTCATGAGACATATGATGTGGATTAATACTGATTGTGTGTTCACTTTTAATAAGAGGCTAAAGAAAAGAAAATAATGTTAAGTGTCGTTCTAATTTCCGGCCTAATGAGAGGGTAATAATTCTCGGACTACTTGGAGAACCGTGAAAAGATAAAGATTATGACCTTGTGTTTGTCGGATTAAATGTTTGGTTCACTCGTCAACACTTCATTGGTCGCGCACAATTGGTACAAGTATAGGGCCCATAATAATAAAACATGCTTTAATAATGAAGCATAAGATATCATGCATTTTTATATGATTTCATGTGTGCAAACGTTTTTGTGAAGATGTCTTTACTTGTTGAGTTTTTGCTAATTAAGTTTGTTTATGTTGTAGGTAACAAACCTACAATTCAATAAAAGTGATAGGCTCGCAACAATCATGGATGGTGGAGGCATGGATTTGGAGACCACCATGCAAACGAATATTTCTGCACAAGATAATTAAGCATTTTTTTTTTTATAAGAAAAACAAATACAGTTACTAATTTTTATAAAG